ATCTTGGGGCCGTGACCTCAATGCCAACAACAAGGACGTCCCTGGCGAGTCTTCAGAGCTGCCCTGACTCCTGAACTGTTCCAGCAGGTGTTGCATGCCTGGGTTATGATCCTCAAGTCCTCCCCTATCGCCCAAGTGAGAGGACAAGGTTCGCCTCTTTCCGAACGGACATTGCAGCAGGCACACGCACACGCACACGCACACGCACACGCACACGCACACACACACACACACACACACACACACACACACACACACACACACACCCCTGCGTGTAGGTTCTCTAAAGAACTCACGTCGCCCGCATCCACTCCTGGGCTCTTTGGGTGTCTTCCTCGCGGAGCACAGCTTTGAAGGCGAAAGTCTGAGGCAGACCCAAGGCCGCAAGGCCAACTTTAGGGCACAGCGGGTGGATTCGCTTTGGCGAAGTGACTTGGTGCAAGCGAGAGCGAGATCCGACCCATACCAAGAAGACGTGATGCAATGCTTCTAAGATTCTATGCTTCTTTCAAAGGCTTCGGATGTTTCCAAACAGCTTCGGAGCGGAGTCCTAACAAGGACGAAGTAGGCAACACGGTCTTTCGCAGGTACTGGGAGTTACCTGGTCTTCTTGATCCTTCGCTGCATGCGAAAACCTGGAGTTGAAGTTTGAAGGCTGCCTTCTGCTTTGGCATCTTCTACTCTGTATACTCCTGCTGTTGATTTAGGCTTGGCGCGAAAAACTTCAGCAATCCACAGGAGCCACATCACGCGCAAGCGGAGTTTTATGCGTCTTTGACGGCACCTTGGACCTGCCATTAGTCGGGTTCGGCTTGGGGGGTTTTGGGCGCCGCGGCCCTGCTCCATGTCACGGTCCCTTCTTACGAGTCCGCAGTGCCAAGAAGTCAGCCTGTTCCTTGATCACTTGCATCCTGTGTTGCAAGGTGGGCAGCATGCTTTTGAGTGGAAGATGATAGACTAGTCTTCGCACCACGCCGAAGAAGACTTCTGAGGCGTTCGGGCTTTGGAAGACTCGAGGCGGTCCTTCCGAAGGAATCATCTGGGGGCAAGAACTTCGGAAGCTTACTAGGCTTAATCTGGGGCCCAATAAACTAGGACCTTGGGGGTTGATTGGTTGAAGTTATTCAGCTTACTTAACACATGATGTGGATGGTAAGGCTACTAAAACAGCAAACCACCACCATTGATCGCTTCACAGCTATCCTATCTACACCAAACATAAGTCTTCATAATTCGTTATATGTTCAACTTCGCATAAGACTTCGATCGAACTCGGATTTGAGACTTAGGGGGGATGGGTGGCACGGCTGGCAAAGCAGCAAAGCATATCATCCTTTCAAGCCATGTGCCTCTTGATCGATGCCAAATAAGGAGGCCTGGCCTCCTGATCGGGGCCTCTGCTCTAGGTAAGAAGGAGGCCAAATTGAGGAGGCCTGGGCCTCCTGGTCGGGGCCTCCTGCTCCAGGTGAGAAGGAGGCCAAATTAAGGAGGCCTGGGCCTCCTGATCGGGGCCTCCTACCCAAAGGGAAGGAGGCCAAATGAATGAAGATTGTCTGATTTGTTGTTCGGAAGGAGGCTTGCAAACAATGCCCCCTGCCCCTAAAAATTGGAACATGGACACAGTAGAGAACATAGACACAAACAGAGCCCATACATAGACACAAACAGACACATACATAGACACAAACAGAGCCCATGTAACCTTTCACTTCTAAAGATTACTTGGGCGGCTTTTGCCATGCAAAAGTGCTCAATCCACTTTGGCCTTTCATTACATGAGCAATTTCGGCTTTTGATGGACTCAACTCACCGAGATGCGACACATGACAGTGGCACTAAAGGCAGCTTTTACCATTCATGCGGCACTAAAATCCAAAATGCTCAAAACTGGTCCCATCTTGCATCTGAAGATTTACATGCCCCCATGGCACGGCCAGCCTTGCGCACGGGCAATTTGCACCAAGATGCGCTTGAGAATCTGTGCATGAATTGCGTTGCCCAGCATGCGCGCAAAAGCCTTAGGGTCCACAATCTTTTGCCAGTCAGGGAATGCGCTTGGCGACATTCCCTGCAGGGCGAGAAAATCATTGCAATTCAGCCAGCGCCCTCGAGCAAGAAAAGGCTGTCAGGCAAGGCGACTTCCCGATGAAGTATGTGCTGTTGCTGGAGCCGACATCGCAAATGATGTCCTGTGGCCCATGCTCCGTGCGCAGCGCTTCGAGGCGGCTCATGCTGTTCCTCACGGTTTTGCTCAGCTTGTCTGTCGGCGGCAATGGCGGGTTAGTGCCAACACCCATGCACTCGCTGAGAGTCAATGAACCTGGCAAAGGCTTGGGCCACTCAAAATGATGTACCTGCGAGGAAGCTTTGATGCCCACCACAAACAGTCTCTCCCTGTGCTGCGGTGTGCCGCCGTGCTTGTCTGCTGACAACTCATTCCAGTACACGTTGTAGCTGGGGCCACTTCCAGGCTCGAGCTCCAAACATCGCAATGTGTCGATGAGGAGATTGAATGTCCGTGGGAAACGCTGCACCATTCCCAGCACATTCTCCAACACGAATGCTTTTGGCTTGAGCCGAGCAATCTGGAAGGGAACTTTTACAATGACACTGCCGCGGCCCTTTGCATCCGCCACACCTTCTTGCTTTCCCGCTTGGCTGAAGAGTTGGCATGGATATCCGCAAATGTAGAAATCCGAGCACAAAGCCCAATCTGCTGGGATGTCATTCTCAATGTTGTCGGCCACTACCTTGGGATTGACATAGTGCTTCAAGAAGGACCTTGCAAGGCAAATTATCGACAAATTGGGTCGGTACACTCGAGCTGCGAACGCATCCCTGGCCTGCAAACTGGGTCGGAGTCAGAAGCATAGTTGTGCTTGATGTTTGCGTTTGGAAACGCAAGCTTTGCTGCCATGAACTTTGTGCCCATGCCACTGCAATCACTGCACAGACTTACATCCGCTGGGAAGTTGTAGAAGTGCTGCGCGCCGTGCAAGGAGGACTCAACGGGTTCCCTCCTAGCAAGCACTGTCTTGCCTCCTTTCTTAGCTCCTGCCTTTGCCGAAGCCTTGGCTGGCTTGCCTTTTGCTTTTGCTGCAGCTGGCTTCTTCATGTGCTTGATTGTTTTGGTTGCTGTCCCCGGATCTTTGCTCGAGCTAGATGCTGGCTTCGCCGCTGCAGGCTTCTTCTTAGTCTTGTTCTGCGTGTTCTCACCCATAATGCAGCGGCACCTCAGAATGTCAGGGTCAACTAATTGTTTTCATTCTGTTCCATTGTTCAAGGCCCTAAACCCTCAACCCTAAAGCCCTAAACCCTACCCTAAACCCTCAACCCTAAAGCCCTAAACCCTACCCTAAACCCTCAACCCTAAAGCCCTAAACCCTAAACCGGGCAAATAAAAGCTTCACACTATGCGCAAGCCAGTTCACGTCCATGGCACTGCAAAGAAGACTCATTCCCAGCAGCTGGGAGCTTAAGGGGCAGTGGCGACTTTAAACACAAATCACTGCGGATGACGACAATGATGCAGCAAAGGACACTCTGGAATTACGCACTTTTTTTCCTTGCGGGGTGTCATCAAAACCTTGGCCAAAACTTGGAAAGCCACCTGCTGGATGCAGGGGCTTTGCTTCTGAAGATCCACCTGCTGCATGCAGGCCATGGCATCCCTGGGGATCGCGCCATCAATCTTGCCAACAGGCTCACTGCAAGCCGCTTGTGTTCTGGAGCTCATTCAAGCGTGCCTGCTGTGGCAAGCACATGTTTAGTGTTTAGGGTTTCACATGTTTAGGGCTTAGGGTTTAGGGTTTCATTAGGGTGTAATTTTAGTATCATCTAAAATAATTTGGTGATCTCAGCGACAAAAAAAATAAAGAACAATAATACAACCCCACGCCTGCCTGGAACTGACTCAGCACACTCTGTGCAGTGCTGGTGCTGCCTCCACCGCTGTTGCCGCCGCCCTGGGGAACCGTGGCTGGGGTAGGTGTTGCGCTCGACGACGCAGCTCCCAAGGTCTCAACCAGCTTGCTCTCGTGAACCTTGCTGTTCGGGCGGGCCATCTCCTTCAGGACACGGAACACGACGACTTCCTGCAGCTTCTTGAGGTGGGTCTCTGTCAAACAGAAGCCGATTTAAGGCAAGCGCTCCGTGGCTGCAAGGCTTGCCAAAACTCCATCAGCGGCTTGGCAATCGATGAGGGCTGTCAAACCATAACTCGACACCATCTCTTGGTACATGATCTCCGGTCTCCCGTGCCAAAACACGGGCTCCACGGTGGTGCGTGGCTTGCCACAGCCACGCCCTGCGCTCTGGTCCGGGTCCTCTCCCGGTGTCCGGCCTCCAACAGCCATGCGATACTTTCCATAAATGGCCAGCTTCTCCTAGCCGTGCATTGGGAGGAGACGTGTTTACAAGTAACGCGAGAATCCAAAACAACAAAAATAAAGTATTACAGTAGAAAGTCTCCTCAACGCTCAGCTGCCACAACTCTCCCGGCGCATCGGGCCTCACTGGCCCCACGACATTGCCGAAGTTGCTGCCTGGGAAAGCTTTGCGCGGGCGCTGCAACATGCATTGGCCAAACTCCTCGCTTGTCACAAGGGTCAGCTGCTCGGTCTGATCCAGGCTGGTCCTCTGACTCTTGCGGCGCTCTCGGAGCGCATTTTCATCGTACGTGACGTAGACCTTCATCTGGTGCATGGGCATCTGGTTGCCCTCGTTGTTCAAGATGCAGGCAAGCATCTTGGACTGCTGCGTGTGCACGCCGGAGTCAAAGAGCAAGAACATGTCGCGGGGATGCAAACAAGTCTGCATCGGATCTCGCGTCTTGACGATGCTGCTGATGAGGTTCTTCAAGTATTTTTGGTTGCAGGGTGCCACCCTTACGTGTGGCGCGGTGGCCGGTTCACCAATGTGGACTGGGTCCACAAAAATGCCAACCCAACTATGATCCTTGCCCCGGACTTGTCCAGCAGGCGACGCGTGGATCGCAGCCATCAAATGAACATCTGCAACTTTTTGAGCTTGTCCACGTCCACGTTCTGCATGCCCCGGCTCTTCACAAACTCCTGCAGTGCTGGGGACTGCATCTCCAAGGTCTCCTGCATGGGCACATCTGTTGCAACGGCCGAAGTCGGGTCACCGGCTGATGGGGCGGTCTCGGCTGAAGCCAACCTCTCATTCTGCAGCTGCTCTTTGACTTCCTTGACTGCTTCCCCGAGCTTGCTGTCCGACTCCAAGCAATCTTCAACTGATTTTGCTTGTCTCATGCTTGTGCGCATGCTGTCATGATACTTCGCGCTGAAGATCGCTTCCCCCAGAAAGAGTAGCACCGAGTCTGCTGCTCCACTCCATCCAGACTTCCAACCAAGATCCACGGACTCCTGGCCCACTCCCACATGCTCCCGGTAGGCCTGGCAGTCGGCGCAGGCAGATCTGATCTTTGCCCTGACCTCATCGGGCAAGTGCTTGCAGACAACCGGCAGAAACTCACCATAGAGGTTCAGTACGCATCAAAACAACAAAAATCAACGATCACAACCTCTAACAGACTCCACTACAACATGCATTTAAAGGGTCTCAGGTTTACAGATTATCAATGTGTGTGTGTGTGTTGCAGCTTAAAAAAATCTCAACCAGCCTGCTCAAAAAAAACAAAAAAACTTGAAGTGAATCATGGGGCTCTGGATGGTTAATGGTATACCTTTCCTGTTTATTCCTGTGGCTATTATTGCGGTTAAGACTGGTATGATGTGTGTTATTCTTTATCATTTTCTAGGGCTAAAGGTCCCATCGGGGTTTAAGGGCTGAGGGTCTAGGGCTTAGGGATTTTGAAGCTTTAAACGAGACACTCAGAAGGTACGATTTGATGCGATGTTGATACAGGATCACGTCAACGAGGCCTTGGTGGTGGTCCTTCGCGGTGCCGGCCAAAAGCCAGAAGCTGGTGCAGCTTTTGTCGGGCATGTCCCCGTTGCAGCGGCAATGGTGGATGAAAGAAAAGACCCAGATGGCTTCCTCTCTTGTGCTCGTCTTGTTGCAGATGGCCCACAACTTTGAAACGCCGTCGAAGAGCGAGGAAGTGTGGTACTCTTCTTCCTTCAAAATCACTTGCAAGATCTCTGGAAAGACCAGGGCTTTCTTGTAAACCAGCAAGCCCTGATCGATGCAATTGTCGCTGATGGGCTCACTCTTCGAGGAGAGCTTCAAATTCTCATTGTACAGGAGTGCCAAGTCCTCATTGGAGGCGTGAGGGCCCAACAGTGTGCTCTTGGCCTGCAAGTCGAAGATGCGCTGCACAGATGTTCTCGTCAAGTAGGTTCTCTGATTGATGTTCTCCCGGTACTGCTGTGCGGCCCACTGCAGCTGGATCTCGTTGTCCATCACCTTGATGTCCACCTGTGTCTCCAGAAGCTTCTCCTTCCAAATGCAAAGTTGGTCATCCATCTTCTGCAGCTCCTCGTTCGTCTTCACGCCCTCCCCGTCTCTGCGGGCCTGGATGGTGGACGCAATCGCCGCATACATTGCCATGACTGGCTCCTCCGCGCTCGCGAACTTCCACGACCCCTTGGTTGGGAACTTGTTGTGTGCCAAGTCACTGCTGAGGACCACCACTTCGATCTTCTGGTCTGAGAGGTTGTTGGGCTGCGCAAAGTAGTGCTCGATCATATTCTCCACCGTCTTCCAAACCAAAGGAATTGAAGGGCACGGGCTGTAATCATGATCCAGCCAAGCAGCATTCACTAGGCACGTGTGCTTCCCATACTTCTTGAGGTCCGAGACTGCGGCCGACTCGTCGAATGCCCTGAGCCACGACTTATGCGGCGGATCCTGCATCTCGAAGTCCGGCCCAAAGTCACTGTGCACCAAGGTCACGTTCTCCTTGTGCTTGGTCAACACTGTGCTGTTCTGGGTGACAGCTTGCGGTGTTGCCTTCAGTCAGGTGTGCGGACGCACCAACGGCAACTGCTGCCAAGGACGCTGCTGCCGCATCTGCTCCAGCTGCAGTCTTTTTCACCTTGGCCGCCCTCGGGGCTGGCTCAGCCTTAGCCTTAGCCCTAGCCTTCTCAGCGGCAGTACGCTTGCCGCCCATGGCTTCGAAGACTACTCGGAGAAGTGCGGGACTCACTACACACTTGGGAAAAACCTTGGACCAAACATGACGAACACTTGCATCACTTGCCAGCATGCTCCGAATGTGCTGCTCTCTCAGCACAAAACTGGGCAAACTGGGCACACTGTGTCGCATCTGCTCCAGCTGCAGTCTTCTTCACCTTGGCCACCCTCGGGGCTGGCTTGCTGCTGCCCATGGCTGCGAAGACTACTTGGTTTGGTGGCAAAGATTCCTGGATCATGATTACAGCCCGTGCCCATCTGCTGATGGGCACGGGCTGTAATCATGATCCAGCCAAGCAGCATTCACTAGGCACGTGTGCTTCCCATACTTCTTGAGGTCCGAGACTGCGGCCGACTCGTCGAATGCCCTGAGCACGGCGGATCCCGGCCCAAAGTCACTGTGCACCAAGGTCACGTTCTCCTTGTGCTTGGTCAACACGGTGCTGTTCTGGGTGACAGCTTGCGGTGTTGCCTTCAGTCAGGTGTGCGGACGCACCAACGAAAAATGCTGCCAAGGACACTGCTGTCGCATCTGCTCCAGCTGCAGTCTTTTTCACCTTGGCCGCCTGGCCTGCAGATCGGGGGATGGGGTTTTGAATGCTGCTTTGCTGTTGTTGCAGAGATGGCTTACTTGCTCGACACACCAGCACTTCCCTTTTCATGCCTCGGCGAAACCTGTCAACACATGCAGGCAGCCTTCTCTTTTGTTTCCCGTCAGGACTCGACCAAGGCACATGCAGGCAGTCTCGCCTGCAGGAATCCGACCTAGCTATTCCAGGTAAAATTAACAATTGCTATGCATGCATGAATTACTGCAGTCGACTACGGGACCGAAACTTCGTTAGCATGCATCGGTGCGGCCGAAACTTCGCCGATTTCTTCTGCATTCGCAAGTGCCAGCCTGCACTTATATGAATCTATAATGTGCCGGTCGGTTTAGGAATATGGGCTCCTTTAATGCGTTTTTTCGGGGCTAATTCCGACCGGTCGCCACTTTTTGGGTGTGGTCTAATTAATGCGTTTTTTTTGGCTGGGGGGATTTTATGGGGGCGGGGCTGTGCTGTTTGCTGATGGTCAATCTTAAGGCAGCCACGACCCCACCCAAACCCTAAAACCCTGGCCCTGAAGACCTAAACTAGGCATACTTAAGCCTAACACCTGAAGCCCCCACCCAAACCCTAAAACCCTGGCCCTGAGGTTTTGTAGGCTTTCTAAGGGGCTCGGCAGGGCTTTCCTAAGGTTCAGGACAGGAATCTCAGGTTTTCTAGGCTTTCTAAGGGGCTAAGAAGGGTTTTCCTTGCTTGCTGAGGGGTTAAGAAGGCTTTCCTAAGGTTTCGAGGCTTACTAATTAAGGGGTTAGGAAGGGTTTCCCTAAGGTTCAGGACAGGAATCTCATGGCTTTCTAGGCTTACTAAGGGGATTAGGAGGGCTTTCCTAAGGTTACAGGATACAGGATAGGAATCTCAAGGTTTTGTAGGAGGCTTTCTAGGCTTACTAAGGGGATTAGGAGGGCTTTCCTAAGGTTACAGGATAGGAATCTCAAGGTTTTGTAGGCTTTCTAAGGGGCTAAGAAGGGCGTTCCTTGCTTGCTGAGGGGTTAAGAAGACTTTCCTAAGGTTTCTAGGCTTACTAATTAAGGGGTTAGGAAGGGTTTTCCTAAGGTTCAGGACAGGAATCTCAAGGCTTTCTAGGCTTACTAAGGGGATTAGGAGGGCTTTCCTAAGGTTAATTACAGGATAGGAATTTCAAGGATATCGAGGCTTTCTAAGGGGTTCGGCAGGGCTTTCCTAAGGTTTAGGACAGGAATCTCAAGGTTTTCTAGGCTTTCTAAGGGGTTTGAGGCTTACTAAGGGGTGAGGGAGGCTCGGGTTCTGGGTGGGGTTTACCTAAGGTTTGGGTCTTGGCGCTGAGAACTCCAACCTTTTTCTGAGGCACGGCAGGCTCAGGTCGAAGGTCGAACCTGAGCAGAATGGTGCTCTTAGTCTTTCTGTGCACGTCTCAGGACATTCTGAGGATTCCCTGCGAAAGTGAATTAAAACCTCAGCTTGATGGACCCTGAGGTAGGGTGATCTTGGTTAATCAGTGGCTCTTTGACTACTTAGGGGCATTTAGTGACTTAGTTAACCACCTAATTAGGAAAACACTAAACTAATAAAGGGCACTAAACCCGAGCTTTAGACCCCAACCTTAAAAGGAGGCCCTGAGGTGCAAGTGCTGAGGATCCAAAAGCAGGAAGCTCAGGCTTCCTTAGGGGCCGCCTTGGCACCCTTCGGCTCAGCTGCCGGAGTCGCAGTTCCTGGCCGGGGGAGGAGCTCTTCACAACAAAACCCCTAAACCCCTAATCCCTTAAACCCTAAACCCTAAACCCTCCCCTTGACAGGACACGTGGACCCAGGGGCAGGAGGACACGTGGACCCATGGGCAGCAGCACTCGCAGCAGGACCAGCACCCAGGTTTGCATATGTGTTTTTGTGGGTTGGAAAGCCCAGCTTTGCACAACAAAACCCCTAAACCCCTAATCCCTTAAACCCTAAACCCTAAACCCCCCCTGACAGGACACGTGGACCCAGCAGCACCCTGTGCAGGAATACCACCAGGACCATTCCGAAACCCCAAACCATCATGGGCTGTCCAACCCAGGTCTGCATATGTGGGTTGGAAAGCCCAGCTTTGCACGCTTAAACCCCTAAACCCCTAAACCCTAAACCCTACGAGGTTGGAAAGCCCGGCTACATCTTTAAAGCATCATGGGTTGGACAGCTTCTTCTTGTTGAACCACATGAGATAACTTATATCGTAGATGACAGGACTCTCTTTGCAAACGACTTCGAAGGCTTCACCGCAGCTTCCACCAACGGGCACACAGCAAGGACCGGATGACATGTTTTTGAATGATCGTGGGAATGAAAAACAATGGCATGAATACCCCGCAGCCGCAAACTTCCCTGGAGGAGCATGGCCGAGTGTGACCCAGATGGTCAATCAATGGGGTGGCTGGCAAGGGCAAGGACAAGGAGGCCTCCTGGGGGTTTCTGTTGTAGCATTTGAAGGGTTGGAGAGCCCAGGCCAGCAAGGGTTGGATAGCCTGGGTTGAATAGCACAAGGAGACCCTACACCAGGACCCACTTACAGTGGGAACTGGTGTACCGACGACGGCTCGTATTGCTTGCTTTGCAACGCATACGTGACGGATGGCCACCTCATGTCGGAGAACCACACCAGGAGGATGAGGAACCATCGTTGGAGTCTCAAAATTTTGGGTTGGAGAGC